AAAAGTTACATTAAAAAAAATTTTTTTAACATACTTTTCATTACATTGTACTCTCGTCTGTCCAAAAAGTATATTATAATGTTTGGAATGATTATGAATACTTAATTTGGGCTATATTAAAACTGCCTACACATATTTTAGTCTAAAATTTAATTTTGTCTTTTGGCCCACAGTGGAATGGAAGAATAAAAATATCGAAACACGACGATTTTATTAAAGGATGGTTTTAACAAATTTGTGAAATCAAATATTTGTTAGGAATATTTTTTAAATATGAAAAACTCTTTTTAATTATCTGAATAATGAAAATTTTCTTAAGTTTTGAAAGATGTGTAGCATTTATATATATTAAAAAAAAAAAAAACAAATTTCATTCTGCCTCCCCCATAAGAACAAAAAGATGAAAGTTACAACGTGAATTCTATAGAGGGTTAGAGTAAAGGAATCCAAATAAAAACTTTATGAATAGAATAAACTTATGGAATACATAGCAAGTTACACTGTCAGTGATCATCATTTACTCAAACACTTCTCAACGTTTTTATTGATACTTTAAAATGAACTTTATAGCAAAGAAAAAGGAATATTGAAAGTTACAAATTTTTTTAAACAATGTTGAATCGATTTCACATTTTGGTAACTAAACAAATACGCTATTTTAAAATCCTTCAGTGAATTTTTAAAAAAAAAAAAAATTACCTCATGTTCACTTTAAATCTGGGATCTAAAACACATGTAACGAGCAATTTAACTTAAAGTGTATTTGTAAAGTTAAAATTTGAAACTTTTTCTTCCTATAAGTACATATTCTAGTTTATAAAATCAAATGTTGCCACAGCAGGATTTTAATTGTTTAAATATTCAGCAAAAATGAAAAGTTTTGCCAAAACCATAGGGATGGGATTGAAAGGTTTATCTTTTCCAAAAGAAAGATTTAAAAAATGTTTAAGAAGTAAATCCATTTTCAAAGGGTTGTTCAATTTACAAGCGTATAGCAAATAAAAATGGAGCGATATGTGCACTCACTAAATTTATGGTTTCATACTGCAAACATTGCACTCCTTATTACTTCGATGCATCTTAATGTAATTACACTAATTCCCCTTAATTTCCCCCTCATTTGTATGGTAATGTAAAGTATGGTACAATATTTACCCCTTCCATAATAGTTTTTGAATTTAATTTTAAAAAATATTTCTAAAAATGTCCACAACACTTTAAGAACTATGTAATGCAAATTTTGGAGTTTCATGTAATTTCTTAACTTAAAAATTTTAATCTTTTTGAAAAATCAAGACAGAAACTAACAGTTCTTTCTCCTTTGATGGTCCACTAGTGACAAAATCATGTCAAGTGTTGCCATAAGCAGAGAGGGTTCTGCTCTGCCCCACCTGTAAATTCATTGATTTGGCAATATTGAGAATATCCCAAGAAGCACTGTGAAAAAGGACATGAAATCAACTAATAGTTTCAAATTAAATGTTTTATTTCAAAAAGTTAGTATTAAAATAGTATAGGAAGCTGTACACTGTAAGTAGTTCAGACCAAACACAACAACTGGAATGTTAAGTCCAAATTCCAATTAGGCAAAAAGTTAATCACAAGTATAAATTAAGCACTTTCGTTGGCAATCTCTTCTACATCTTCAAAGTCACCTTCATCTTCAGCAGTAGCATCTTGATATTGTTGATACTCTGACACAAGATCGTTCATGTTTGATTCAGCTTCAGAAAATTCCATCTCGTCCATACCCTCACCAGTATACCAATGCAAGAAAGCTTTTCGCCTGAACATAGCTAAAAACAAAAATAAATGATCAGTGCGCAGATAAAATACAAATTTTGATCATTCCACTTTTTTGCACATAAAATTTGAGAAAAAAATTCTTTGGAAGATAGTTTTGCATATTTACAACGGGAAAAATTCATACATTTGGTTGTGCTATGTTCCATGACAACTGTAGTGGAATGTTTTAACTTCCTTAAAAACTAATGTCGAGATCATACAGTAATTGTCTTTACATTTGGTCAGAAATATGATTTATTTCTTAATTGCTATATAAAAGCATTAATTCGAATAATTAAACTTTGTTTAAATAAACTTCTTAAAAATCTACCCCATCTAGAGCACTTAAGAATTTTTCAAAGCATTTTATTAATACTTTTGGTAAGGTAAAACTAAGGCCTATTCTTTGAGCAGGCAATGAAATATTAATAAGAGTTAGTTTCAGCAAGACATGTCAGAATATTTGGTTCATTATGCATTTTAACTTAGCCCCTGATGAGTCTTAAAAATTTCTAAAGGTGAGAAAATAAAATACATGTTACTTTAAAATTTGATTAATACACCAATTTTCAAGATAAAATCTTGGAAGTTCCTCCTCTTCATTCGAAAAGAAATGGTCACAATCCTTTCGACGTTATTAATCTTCTCAGATTAGTTGCTTTTTAGAA